ATGTACAAATTGCACAATCTACATATTTGTATTCAAAATAAAACAATGCAAGCAACGTTAAGCAAAAAAAAAACAACCAAGAAAAAGAAAACAAATATAATGCAATAAAACTTAGATTAATAGACAAGTGAAATTGACACAAGAGCATATTACTGTAGGCGTATAAATTCAACAAAAATTTGATTTAAAACGAATTATTCTAAATCTTGTAACGTTATAACCAAATTAATTAATCAGTGCTTTTTTTCAAACGATTAACTGTTTTTTTTTGTGAATGTCAAACATATAATCCAATATTATTCTTTTAATGTTAACAGTTAGATCCATTAAAAATTTTATAATTTTATTTTGGTTTTATAATTTTGTTATTTGTTGTATAATTGACTTAATTTTAGTTAAACTGTTGACCAACATATGATAACGAGCACTGTAAAAATTTTTATGTTTTCATTATATGAACGTATGATACAAAATAATTTACATTTATAAAAGTGAAAAAACATATTTGACATTTTTTTGTCAAAATTTTGATTGATACAAAGCTGCAAATAAATAGTGAGTTTTAAACGTAATTTTAAAGTTGTTGTAATATTTTAAAATAATTAAATAAGGAAAATTGTAAAAATTAAAGGATATTAGCCATTGAAAAAGAGAATCACACTTCTTTTTCATCCCAAATGGTCTAGTGGTTAGGATTCTCGGCTTTCACCCGGGCGGCCCGGGTTGAATTTCCGGTTTTGGAAAGTTATATCAACAGCACGGAATAGTATAGTAGTAGTCAATTGTGGTTGTACGAATGACAAAATCAAATTAGTATGGAACAATAAATCACTGCAGGGTTCAATTCACGGTTTGGGAAAGTTATTTCAACAGCACAGAATAGTATAGTAGTCAATTGTGATTGTAAGAATGACAAAATCAAATTAGTATGGAACAATAAATCACTGCAATTTGAACATTATCAAAATGAAATATATAAAACGTATGTGCGAATTCAGCTTTGAGCCACAAAATCAAAATAAAAAGGTGGCATTCACTTGAGAGATAGCATGCTTCACAAAACCTATTAAAACTATTTTTCACCTACAAAAATAATTTATTATTTTTTTACATAAAATTAACAAAACAAATTGTATGATACATGTCAGAATTTAAAAATATAGCCAAAAGAGAGTACGTTAAATATGAATAGCATAACAAAACAGAAATAAAAAAAACCAGATAAATAAATAATAATCAATTTTGTTTATTTTTCATATGTGCTTACAACAGCTAACACTGAATCAGATGCCCATTAAAAAAATGTGAAAAAATTTAAATTGTACGC